GCACTGATTAATGATGGCTGGAAAGGCTTTTGAGGATCCAAAATAAGCATCATTTCTTCTTATCTCCACCAGTGCTAGCTTTACACTAGTCTTATGCTAGTAGAGCAAAGAAGAATTCCCCTCCCCTGCTAGGATAAAATCATTACTGATTTATGCTGGCTGGGGAGGAAAGGCTTGGAAGGAAGCCAGAACAGGTATGATTTATTCTTAGCATCACTAGGGTAAAGCTAGCACTGGTGGAGCTAGGAAGAAATCATAGTAGTTTATGCTGACTGGAGAGGAAAGGATTGCAACAGAAGCAAAAGTGACTGAATTTCTTCTTCTTGATTGTGCCACATGGCCCAGCAGCCTTCTCCAGCCTGACTTCCTCAGCACATCAAAAGGTAAGTAAGCGAATGGTGATGGAGTAGGAGTGCATGGAACTGAGTATATTGGCAACACAGTATGTTATTCAACCCTGCAAGTTCCAGTAAAACCAGAGGTGGTATTCAGCAGGTTCTAACCAGTTCTGGAGAACTGGTGGCAGAAATTTTGAGTAGTTCAGAGAACCAGTGGTAACCTTCTACCAGGAGTGGGGTGGGAGTGGAGATTTTACAGTATCCTTCCCCTGCCACACCCACCAAGCCACACCCACAGAACCAATGGTAAAAAAAAATATTGAATCCCACCACTGGTTAAACTGTAAAAAACAAGCAACGGTATATGATTACAACATGAATAACAACTACTAGAGCCATGCTCCATAAAGGAGACCATGTGCGCCGAAGTAGAATGTGGCCTACTTACAGTCTAGGCCCAAAATATAACTGCCTCTACACCCCTCCAGAACTTAAACTGCTTTAAGGTGTGTCAGGATACGCTGCTCACCTGTGACACCTCCAGCTGGGTTGAGATTGCAGCTCAAGAACTGTGAATGGCTTCTCTGAATGGAAGATGGAGGCTGGAATGGCCTCACTTCTCTTTCCCATCGATGCTTTGTAACAAAACTTGACAAGGCAGGAAAGGAGAGGTAAGTAGTAACCCTGAACATTTCCTTATTAAAGGAATAAATAGGCTGCACCTATTTTGGCCTGTCAGCTCAGGATTGCTATATTTTACCTATAAGCTATAAAATAACCCTGTCCTGACAGAGTAACAAATGCTGTGGGGACAGAACCCATTATATGAAAGAAAATATAGGAATATTATCAAGGGGTTACAGAAAAGGCTAAGGTTAAAGGAATCTTCCAGAACCTCACAGCCACCAAACAACGGCTTAAACCAGTTAGATCATTGTAGTATCTGCTACAATTAACCCTTCCCTAGATATGTAGGACTGCTTAGCTCAACAAATTGTTGGTGGCAGAAACATTGTGCAGGTGAGTGTGATTCAGACTTGAAGAAAAAGAATTTGGGTCTCACACGTATCCCCTTGAATTACCGCTTGTCCAGCCTTGTTTATGTGTTTATATAACAACTTTATCTCTCTAGCAGTAATCAGCCAGTTTGCACTTAATTAAAGATTGTCAGCTTGCTCAAGCATCTCATATTAGCAAATTCAATTCTTGTTCTGTTCTTGTTTGGTGGTGCTGTCTATGAAAACCCCTCTCCAGCCCATGTTCATCTTTAGCTAAGCTAGCCAACATAACCTAGACAGCATAAAAGCAAACCCAAGGCTTTTAATATATAGGGTGGGAACAAGTTTTTTTTTCTACATCTGGCCTTTGCTATTTCCTTGTGTTCCTTCCATAGCCTGAATGCTTTTGGCCAGGTTTTGCATTAACGTGCCTTCAAAACAAATGCTCTCTTTGAATACTCTCTATTAATTCATTCCACAGGGTTCAGGCTTTTGATAAATATGAAAAAAAAATTGAAGCTCAGTTTCAGGTAGGGCTGGTACCAGAAACAAAGATAAAATAAGATATGCATGCTCATACAAACGAATGCATATTTTGCACCCCCTAATTGAAATATAGCAATAGCTATATTTAAATAGAGATAGAAGACCTCTCCATCTAATGGAGATGAATGTGATGAAATTACTTGGAAACCTACTTAATATGCTGCACCATTACTTAAATAATTCCTTCAAGTTTTCAATATGTGATTAGGTGGGTTTAAGAGTAATTATTACAATAAAGCAATCATCCAGGTTTAAAAGTAAACATATGATTCTTATTGCATTTTTAAGGTAAACATTGTGAAATAATGTGTAACAAAGAACAGCTGACAATGAATATTGGATTGTGGGTCATCTGAAGAGTGAATACAGGGAGAACTTTTTCATTTAGATGTCTCTCTGTCGGCATCATGAAGATTTTCTCAAAGTCATAGTGACTCTGTCAACAGGCTATCAAAAAAGTACTTTCAAATTTCTTTTAAATTGCTTTCTGTTATTCTAGGAAAAGAAAATGAAAAAGGTCTAGCTTAGCTGTGATTGAAAACTCTGGATTCATTCATGTTTGATGGATTAACTTCTCTTCTAGGCTGAATTTGGTGGTGTGATGTGATATAATCAGGCTAGAATCATGGAACAGCTGCTTCAAGTAAAAACAAACCCTCCTGTGGCCAGAAGCAACTTCAAGAAAACTGATTTCAGCAGCCAACCTGGAAACAATCATCCTTAAATAATGAGCACTCCTGAGCTTAGAGAGAGAGTTATCCTCTTCCTCAGTTTAGCTTTGGAGCAATGAATTATTTAATCTCTTCTCTTCCCCCTTCCGATGATGACCTGTGTCTATCATTGTACAAAAGGAATAATAAAGGTGATTTCAGCACCAGAAGAAGTAATTCATGATCTATAACTACCTGTGTTCAAACCTGGGAAGTCCCAGATCTTTGTAAGGTGTTGAGGGAGACATATGAATTACCACACTCCTTCCATGTACTCTATGAGTAAACAGTCCAAAAACTATTCAAGGGTTAAGTACTACATTAGCCACTCACAGGCATGCTTTTATATAGCTGGGTCTTGACTTCCTACTATAAGATATGTACAACCAGATAGCAACTCTGCAGCGCCTGACATTTGTAGCTCCACAAATCGCCGAATGTCTAGCTATAGCCTCTGATGATGGCTTGAATTGGATGTCACATGAAGTTACTACTGTGAAATGGAGCTCTGGCACCGTAGAAGCAGTTTCACAATAGTGGTAGCCATAATAGAGCACAGTACTAAAATAAGAAATGTTCTGTATAGAAATCTACATACTCGAAATCCGGCAACCCGGATTGGCTAAAACGCACTGCCACCGGATTGGCTGAGTGCGCGGCACTGATTGGTCGCTCGGGATCGCCCGCGATTGGCTGAGCCGATCGCGGGCGATTCAAAACGACCCGATTGGCCGCAGCACTCAGCAGAAGGTCTTTTTAAGCCGCGCTTCTTCCCCACTTCCCTGTCTTGTGTTTTACCCGAATAAAGAGCTGAACCAAGTCACTGCCTCGCGTCCTTTTGTGCGTATGAGATATACGACACTGGCGACGAAGGTGGGATCCTAGCAAATCCCACACCGCACGTGGCCCACGGAACCGCAACCGGCAACATGGCCAGCGGCAACGTGCCACCCGCTCCTTTCAACGCCGCTACTGAAGAATGGGAATCTTACATCGACCGATTCCTCATGTTCTTGGAGAGCAACAATCTCAAGGACGCGAACGGACAGAGAAAACGGGCCGTTTTTCTCACGCACTGCGGCCCCGCGGTTTTCAAAATGGCAAAAGCCCTTGCCAAGCCGCTCGATGTGAAGGTCATGGACTGGGACGACCTCGAACCCCTGCTGAGGAGCCACTACGCACCCGCTGTGCCCACCCTCATTCGTCGGCACGAATTCTACCGCCGCGACCAGAAGCAAGGTGAGAGCGTCAGCAAGTTTGTGGCAGAGCTCAGGGACCTCGGAGGGCTATGCGGGTTTACCGATCTAGACGAAGCCCTGAGGGACCGCGTCGTCCTCGGCCTCCGGGATTCCGTCCTGCAAAGCCGGATCATGGCAAAAGGCGACATCTCCCTCGCGGATGCCCTCGCAGACGCCACGGCAGCAGAAGCGACCCGGAGATCCGCAGCCCAACTGAAGCAAACCAGCACCGCAGAACGGACCACCGCAGCCGCGACCGACGACAACTACCGAACAGCCACCTCCACGCACCACGGCGACCTCGAGTCCTCCTCAGGCTCGGAAGACGACGAGGAAGATGTCCATCGCATGCAGACGGGGCGCGACCGGCGCGACCCACGGAACCGAAGATCAAAGTTCCAGTGTGCCGGCTGCGGGGGTGAGCATCCAAGGTCAGAATGCCGTTTTTTAGACGCGATCTGCCGCCATTGCGACAAACGGGGACACATCGCAAAGGTCTGCCGCCTAAAGAGGAACCACAGCCCCCGCCACCGAGACACAACCCCCCGAAGACGTGACACCACCAGGCGCAACAACACTCCACCAAGAAACCGCGATCGGGACAGCGAGAGCCGCTGGAGCCGGGAAGCGAGGAACCGCCGTTTACACGAAGGCCGCCAGCGTGAGGAAACCCACCAAACGGTCATCGTCGGCCATTCCTCCAACTGGGACAGCCGGAAGGTCCACGTGGAGGTCGAGATCGAGGACCGCCCCTGCAAAATGGAAGTCGACTCCGGGTCGTACCTGTCCATGGTCGCATGGCGGGAAATTAAGCGACTAGTACCTTCCATGAAGCGGCACGAGCTGGAGAGCCAAACACTCGTCCTCAAAGATTACCAGGGGAATCGCATCCCCGTGGTGGGGACCGGGCACTTCAAGGTCACTTTTAAAGGGCGCACCGAAATACTTCCGCTAACAGTCGTCGAACGAGACCGCCCCAGCCTATTGGGACTACAATGGTTTGCGCCGCTGGGACTAGAAGTGACCGGCACCAACCACATCGCCGAAGCAGACTGGGAGGAACAGCTCGTGCGCGACTTCCAGGAGGTCTTCGACGGGAACCTAGGCAAGTACCGGGGCCCCCCAATATCGTTCAGCCTAGACCCCACCATTGCACCCATCCGCCTCAAACCCAGGCGAGTACCTTTCGCCCTCCGACCCAAAATCGATGAGCAATTAAACAAGCTCATCGAACAGGGAGTCCTCGAGGCCACAGATCATGCCCGATGGGAGACCCCCATAGTCACCCCGATAAAGCCAGACGGGTCGGTGAGAATCTGTGGGGACTACAAGGCCACCCTAAACCGCGCGCTACAACAAAGCGCCTACCCCGTCCCAGTAGTACAACACCTCTTGCACTCACTGGGAGGAGGCAGGGTCTTCGCCAAACTCGACCTGGCACAAGCCTATCAGCAACTGCCGGTAGACGAGGAAACCGCCGAAGCGCAGACAATAGTCACACACCGGGGGGCCTTCCGCTGCAAGAGGCTGCAATTCGGAGTCAGCGTGGCCCCGGGGGTATTTCAAAGCCTGATGGAAAGACTCCTCCGGGGCATAAAAGGGGTGGTGCCGTACTTTGACGATGTATTGGTAGCCGGGGCTGATTGGAAACAATTAGAGGGCCGCCTACGGGAAGTACTGAGGAGATTCCAAAACGCGGGGCTCAAGGTTAAGAGAGAGAAGTGCCAACTGCACACAACAAGGGTCGAGTTCCTGGGGTATTTACTAGATCAGCATGGAATCCACCCCACCGAGGGCAAAATAAAAGCCATTAAAGAAGCCCCGAAGCCCCGAAACAAAACGGAATTACAAGCGTTCCTGGGGTTAATAAATTTCTACAATGTTTTCCTGCCCCAAAAGGCGACCGCGGCGGAGCCATTGCATAGGCTGCTCGACAAGGCAGCCACCTGGACGTGGGGGAGACGAGAAGAGGACGCCTTCAACAGAACCAAGAACCTTCTCACATCAGACGCTGTCCTCATCCAGTACAGCGAGACACTCCCCATCACGGTAACGTGCGACGCATCCCCTTTCGGAGTAGGAGCCATCCTCAGCCACACCCTCGCAGACGGAAAAGAAGCGCCCATCGCTTTTTTCTCGAGGACCCTCTCAAAACCCGAACGAAACTACAGCCAATTGGATAAGGAGGCTTTAGCCATCGTCGCGGCCGTAAAGAAATTCCACGAATACCTTTACGGCAGGACCTTCACCATAATCACGGACCATAAACCACTGCTGGGAATACTGGCAGGAGACCGGGCCACACCAATCATCCTCTCCCCAAGGATGACAAGGTGGTCCGAATTTCTTGCCGCCTACAATTACCGACTAATCCACCGCCCCGGCAAAACAATTCCGCACGCAGACGCCCTCAGCCGCACACCGTTGCCAACCCTGGACGACGACCCAGCACCAACCACGTCTACCCTGAGCATCGAGACCTTACCCAACCTACCCCTGACCGCGTCAGACATTGCCCTAGCAACCAATAAAGACAGACGTCTGGCGCAGGTCCTGAGATGGGTGGGGAAAGGCTGGCCAGAAAAAGAGGAAGACAGCGAGTTCAAAGCTTACCGAAGCCGACAAACAGAACTGTCAACACAAAAAGGTTGTTTATTGTGGGGGGACAGGGTCGTAATCCCGGAAAAATTACAAAAAAAAGTCCTAAGCATGCTACACGAAGGGCACCCCGGCATCGTTAGGACAAAAGCCCTGGCCAGAAGCCACGTCTGGTGGCCAGGGATGGACAAAGAGATCGAAGCCTGGGTAGCCTCATGCAAGCAGTGCCAGGAATCAAGACCAAACCCCCCCGCCGCCCCGAGCCGAGAGTGGGAAACCCCCAGGGGTCCATGGTCCCGAATCCACGTAGATTTCGCGGGACCAACCAAAGGACACACCTTCCTGATAACCGTAGACGCTTACTCAAACTGGCTGGAGGTAAGCAACATGAAGACGACCACCACAGACTCCGTCATCAGAGAACTCAGCAAACTCTTCGCAACCCACGGCCTCCCAGATGTCATCGTATCGGACAACGGCCCCCAGTTCACCGCACTACCGTTCGAGAAATTCCTAGCAGAACGAGGAATCCGACACGCATTAACAGCGCCGGCACACCCGGCGGCGAACGGTAGGGCGGAGAAAATGGTCCAATTCACAAAAAAGACCATCCAAAAGATCGAAACCGGCGACATACAGGACAAGATAAATCGAATGCTCCTAATTCAACACATAACCCCGAGTACCACAACAAACAAGAGCCCAGCGGAGCTATTAATGGGAAGAAAACTGCGATCCCCGCTCGACCGCCTGCACCCCACATACAACCCGGAAAGACCCCCTGATTCTACCAGCAAACACAGAACATTCTCACCGGGAGACAAGGTTTACGCAAAAAACCTCACCGGAGACCCCCTCTGGGTACCGGCAACGATCACCCAAGCAACAGGGCCACTCTCGTACCGCCTCCAAACAGCTGACGGACGAGCGTGGAAGCGCCACATCGACCAACTGAGATCAAGAACCACCGCGGGAAACACAACCGACACGCAGATACCAGGTACAGAAGGGAACCGGCAGGACACCAACCAAGAGGGGAGGGAAGACCCCAAAGAACAAACCCACCCGAAAAGGAACCAGCAGTACTCACCACCTGAAGAACCGGAGAGCGACCCACTCGAAGCCTCGCCTGGAAGGAGCAGCCGAGCCAGCTCAACCGACCCCGGAAGCCCGAGCGGGAGCAGCCAAGCCAGCTCAACCAGCCCGGAAAAGCCGAGCGGGAGCAGCGGAGCCAGCAGCTCGACCGACCCGGGAAGACCAGGAGGGAGCCGCGGCGAGAGGCCTGACTCACCCTTCCAGGCGGTTCCATCAACGAGGCGGAGAGCGACAGGAGTCCCACCCGAACCGGCCAACAACCAGATGACAACTGACCAACGCAAGTCAAGTAGGAAAATACGGAGCCCCGCCTACTTACGGGACTACGTCACGTAGGACCAAACCAAGAGGGGAGGGGTGTTCTGTATAGAAATCTACATACTCGAAATCCGGCAACCCGGATTGGCTAAAACGCACTGCCACCGGATTGGCTGAGTGCGCGGCACTGATTGGTCGCTCGGGATCGCCCGCGATTGGCTGAGCCGATCGCGGGCGATTCAAAACGACCCGATTGGCCGCAGCACTCAGCAGAAGGTCTTTTTAAGCCGCGCTTCTTCCCCACTTCCCTGTCTTGTGTTTTACCCGAATAAAGAGCTGAACCAAGTCACTGCCTCGCGTCCTTTTGTGCGTATGAGATATACGACAAGAAATGAAGCAGAATTCACCAGAAGGTTCAGCATGTTATTTTAAATGAGAACCGAAGACCATTGGGCAAAATAACAGCCAGACTCTGCTCATTACAATGCCCATAAAAATTAGGCTTTATTTCTACTGCCTGTCTTCCTAATGACATCTAATAAAGAGACTACAAATGCTTTCTTTCCTAGCAATCTCTCTACAGATAGCGCTGCATCTATTCTGAAACCCAAGACTCTATTCAAATAGATAAAGTACAATTATGTAGGACTGACTTTATTGATTTCAGTTAGAATTCTGTGGATCATTGTTGCCTTCTATTCTTCTTTTTGCTTCTCACATGTTTTTTTTATCCTGAGCACTTGGCAGTGAATTTAATATAATCATATATTCCAGGATTATAGAGTTACAAAACTATCACTTTTCTTTTTTTTCCTTTCAGTCTCATAACAGTCTTGAAATGTATAGTCTACCAATAAAATACTTCTAAAGAATACAGAAAAACAAGATGTAAACTTCTTTTAAAACATACTTTTTAAGGCTGAGAGAATTAAAAAATGTATATCCTTGGCACTTAATAGAGAAAATGCAGGTATTTGATGATTTCCCCTTTAATATAATCATATCTTCCAGGATTATAGAGTTACAAAACTACCACTTTTCTTTTTTCCTTTCAGTCTCATAACAGTCTTGAAATGTATAGTCTCATCTGCTTGTCAACATGACATATATATCCAAATTACATAAAGTGAATAATAAAAAACCCTTCCTTCCTTCCTTCCTTCCTTCCTTCCTTCCTTCCTTCCTTCCTTCCTTCCTTTATGCTATAATCAATAAATGGTTGCCAAATTTTACAGGAGTGTCAAACTCAAGGCCCGTGGGCTGAATCCAGCCCTTGGGGGTGCTTAGATCTGGTCTGCAGGGCCTCCCTGGAAACAACAAAGGAAGGTTACAGAAGGTTAATTCAGTAAATTTTCTGTAATATACCTTTTCCTGGGTTATATCACATAAATATTTTTGGGGGAGGGAAGGAAGGTTCTTTGTGCAAAGCTGCCAAGAGTGTCTTTTTTATAACCTTAAGTTGAAGGGAAATGGGGTCTTGATAATGTAGCTTAGAAACTCTCCAAGAAGCTGAATAATTTAAAGGGGGGCATATTCAGGCACAGTGATAGCAACCTCTCTATAATGTTCAGTTTGGAAGAAACTCTTCTTAACAAGATGTGCATAACAGTGAATTGCCTCCTCCCCATCTGCTTCTGTTCTAGGATCAAGTAGCATTCATTATTGTTTTTCTCTGGTAGATGCCTTTATTTTATTTATCCCCCCACCCCCAACAATTTTTACATGGTGGGGCACTATACATCACCAAGAACTCTCCATACTATCAGTACTGATAGACTGTAAAAAGAAAAGACATTTCACCAGGAGAAAATCCGGTTGTTGAACTGTGTATTTTCTAGAAAATTCATTGAATGCAATTTAAGGGATAAAAATCTAGTTTATAAGAATACACTTCTAGACAGAATTCTGCAATATTGGTAACATACATTTTTTATGGATTGCTTTGGCTACTGTTAGAAGAAAAATCTGGTCTGGTTCCAAGCTGGCAGAAAAATGCTGAAAATAAAATGCAGACCATATGGGAGAAAAGTCTCTGTTTATTTGGTTTCCGGAAATTTCAGAGACAGCAGCATGTTTCTGGGATGGCTGAGCAAATGGATGAATCTTTATAGGGTGATTGAGATGCTCCAGGGGCTTGTGCAATGTAGTGAGCCTTATGCCTTTTACAATTTCAATGGTGACAGGTTAATTCTATTATGTCCTAAAAGTCCTGCCCTGTCCTTAGAATTTGGGTGGGGAAATGTAAATTCTTAATCCCATCAGCTCCAACCTTCTATGAGTTTTGTTTATAAATAGATTTGCTCAGTCTTCCTGAATCAATACAAAATCTCCACTCCAAAAGACCAGTCTCTTCTGCTTGAGGCTATTTTGCTATGCAGGGACTGGGGTTGCTTTCTGCCTTTAAGGACATGCTTCTTCATTTCTCCTTTGGGGAAATGTAATATTCTGCCTCTTTTTAATATAAGAATGAATAATATTTTAATCTAGGAAGAGGGTCCTTCCTATACCACTGAACATCTATGTTATAAAATCAATGTGCATTAGAATTTTAGAATAACATATTTTTATGTACAAGAGAAAACTCTGCCCATTTTCTTTTTCTCTCCCATTGCCAACACCGCTGTCCTTTTTATTAGAATTTTAGTTTTAAATTCTTATTGCAGAGTGGGTTGACATATATACAGATCAAAAGGTCACATCTACCAATGAAATACTTCTAAGGAATATGGAAAAACAATCAGATGTAAACTTCTTTGAAAATGTATTTTTAAGACTGAGAGAATTTAAAAAATGTATATTTGTGGCACTTAATAGAGAACAATGCAGGTATTTGATAATTTTCCCTGAGGGCAGAGTTATAAAAGGAAAATGCTACTACTGAAAATGCCAACTCCTGTCTCATCTCTGATGGTGGGACTACTCCTTGAAGAAAGGTATCAGCAGACAAATGTAGGATCCAGCTTACTTTGGCTCTTCATCATCATCATCATCACATACAGCTGGAGTATTGGATGAACTTAGATGCCTTTTGGATAGTCACCAGAGAGCCTGGCTAAAGTAAATTTCTAAGATAAATGTTTTCAGGGAAACTGGCAGCTTTAAAGCAGCATACATTTAAACATCTTATCTGCCCAAAACACCAGATTTGTTAGGGCAATGGAATTGTTGCCGTTGAAAAAAAAAATCACTTCACAACAACACACAAATTGGAATACTTCAGCGGGATGAATTTTTTTCCCTGTGACTAGAGAAGCATATTGGCCTTAGTCTTGCTCCATATTTTTACGGTCAGCTTGCTCTGTAAATTATCTCAAAATGTGTGCTAAGTGGGTTGCAAAAGTAAGGTGATTAAAATATACACAGAAAAAGTGTTCTCTGGGATAATAATAGGACAGTCAAAAAGCTTTTCTATTAAGAGTAATTTTTTAAATGTATATATTGGTGGAATATCAGCCCAACAGGCCATATTTTACAGTCGGCTTTTGAAGCCGATTTTTAATCTGCTTTTGCTATAGAGCTAAACCTGGTTTTAACTATCTGATTTCTTATTCTCTTGTTTAGATCCCTCCAATAATTGGTTCCTTGGGGACCAACACAATAGAGGTCTGTCTCACTCATGTGGCTCATTGTCATGATCCCTCCTTTGTTAGAGAAGGAAACAGTGAGTCTGATTATGGAATATGATATGGACATTTTGTCCAGAGCTGTAGCTCAGTCATTTCTCCTTGAAAATATCTCTTTCTGAGTCCCAGATAATAGATGTTGCACAACAGAATGCAAAAGTGTAAGGATTCAAGTTGATACTTTTGGAGTAAAAACTCAAGAATTTATCCTGGTTTTAAACCACTAAGTCCTGTATCTTCTCTGCATAAAAGCCTTGCTAGCCAGCAGACATTCTGCAAAAACTAGGTATTTTTGTTATTTTTGTTTCCTAATCCTTCACAAACAACTTGAAGCTGACAGTGGTTGTTTTCATTTCTGCTGACCAATAGAAGAATGCAAAGAGCTTCATTTGAACAGTGGCCTGTTCTATTACTGGTGGTAGAGCAACAAAATCACAAAAGGAATAAATTGCTAGCATCTCGGATTCATGTTTTTAATAAACGTTGTGCAAATAACAAGCATACCTAGTTTTTGCAGCATGTCTGCTTGTGAAAAAGCAGACAAACAAAACCGAGGGTTTGCTTCTGGGCTGTAAGATAGCATTATTCTTGTAAATCTCTTGCCTGCTGTGTTCATGAAATGATAGCAGGCTGGCATGTCTTGCCACTATTCTCTTTTTTCCAATACATCTGTTCAAGAATGAAGAAGGGGAAGATAAATTCCAAATAATATGTATGACCAAGCTGCCTAAACTCTGTATTAATAAGAAGAGGGGGAGTGGGGAGGAAGAGTAATGACTGTTGTATGTCTAGAAGCTGGAAGACAGAATTCCCTGCCAATTGGCAAGCAGACAACCTGACAGCTCAGCAGAACTACAATGAGTCAGAGGCAATGGTTTCATATACATCATCCAGAAATATGGGTAATTTATTTCCCAAACCTTCCAACACTGACATCAGAAAAATAAGTTTAAATTTGTGCAACGCCCT